GTCCGGTGAATTCGGGTCTGGGTATGGAACCGACCCGTTTCCAGCCCTACTCTCTCTCTCTCTCTCATGTCATTGCATAGGATCCCTAGGAAGTCCTTGTAAGACTCAATTCTATCCGAAATTCAATCCTCTCTCTCTCTCTCACAGAGAGGCACACACAAAAACATCACCATTATTCAATGAACATGATTCCAGTCAATGGCACTTTTTTAACAAATCAAAATGCCATAAATGTTGCCCAACTTGAATGAAGACTGCCACTTTTTTTTTTTTTAACAAGAATCCACGCTTACTTTGATTTTTTAAATTAAAAAAAACTGTTTTGCTTTTCATGCTTTTCCCCGCGCCATTACAATACAAATCCTTGAGCTTTTCTTAATTTCACATCATAAGTTATAAATAATCGAAAAGACCCATTGTTTGAATCTGGCCACTTTCACATTTTCTGTCTAACTTAAAGTCAACAATTTTTTCACGAGTCAACATATTTAATTCCTATTGCATATTAAAGAAAGGGTGCGGTTTGTATAGAGCCTAGGCTCTAAACAATCAAATTAGAGACTACCTTCGAATAGTATCGAGAAACGTGGTTTCAACATTGGAAATCTTTATGACAGCCTTAAAATATATTTTCATTTTTAAAGCTTAAAAAATAATGTAGATAGATAAATCTATGAAAACTTGAAAATTGACAGTCCAAAAATGTATTACAAAATACATTATTTCCAAGACTTGAAATCCATTTTTTTCTCATGTCGATGCATCTTGATCTCTAGATGATCAATTTGAGGATATTTGAGCATCAAAACAATCTCTTCAAGTGAATTTTTGAGGTAGGCTCTAATTTGATTGTTTAGAGCCTCAGCTCTATATAAACTTTTCCCTTAAAGAAAACTATTCCCTCTATCAATTTCTTGGATATTTTCATCACTCATCTATTAATTTTTTTTTGTTCACCATTTATTTCTCGCTTCTTACATAGAGGTGTGGTTTCCATAAGGTTGCAACATTAAACAATCCAACTAAGGTGAACCTTCAAATTTAATCATAATATATAATTTTGATGTAAAATGTTTTTAGGATTATCTCAAAATCTATTTTTATATCCAATTGTAAAATTTTAAATTTAAAAAATGATTAAAAATTAAGTAGATCTATAAACATATGAAAATCTTGAAATATTGACGGTGTATATAATATGTTGCAAGATGTACTATTTCTGAGACTCAAAATCTTTTTATTTTTCATAGTCATACATCTCGATGATCAATCACAGGGTTTTTCAACATTAAAATAACCTTTTCCGATGGATTTTTGAGGTGCATCCGTAGTTCTACATTTTAAGGTTGCAACCTTATATAAACTTTTTCCTATATATATATAGGGAAAGGATCCTGTCATCCCATAAGTTGGCAACTACCACAGATTGAATCTGGGTACGATCCAATGGTCATGACATCATTTCGTATTTGAATTTTCATTTTTTTTTTATACAAATCCAAATCACTTGAAATTTTGAACGTCTATTCTTCAAAAATAGGATAATCAAATAAAAATATAAAAA